CTAATTATCAATTTTTAAAAATTTTAATTAAAAAATTTTTAAATAAATCTCCTGAAAATATTTTAAAAACACAACATACCTTGTCCTATTTTATATTTATTATATAAAATTGTTTCGTCTAAATTTATCCAAAAATTAAATTAAAATAATTTTTTTATCAAATTAAAATAATTAAATCACAATGAAATAAAGTTTAAAAGTGTCGGTGCATGTGGACTGACAGATGACAAGCGAACTTATCGCCATCATGTGCGGCGTCAGTACAAATCTTCCTTTCCTTTTTCCACCAATGCCGACGCGTTATCTAACTTCGGTTAAAAAAAAAAAAGCCGACGCGTTATGTTAGATCTTCCCTAAAATTTTCCTTAATATATAAACTACAGTTAATAAAATTTATTTTGTTAATTACAGTAGATAAATTTTAGGTTTTCCCAATATCTTAGATGTAAATAAAATAACAGTTTTTCGATATATATCATGTTGAAATTATATATTTTATAAGTATAATTAAATAAAAAAAATTCTTTTATGAACTGTCTACTGAACAACTTATTAATGTTTATCAATTTTTTTTATAAATAATTTATTCTCAAATTATAATCATAAGTTATTTTTATCTTATTCTAGAGCAGCCGTCAGTTATTTTGTTTGTCTCTAATGTAACTTATTTTTTTCATAATGATGTCTTTAATAAAGTTTTTTTAGCTTTTATTGATAAATTTTTTTATTAACATTCTGTTCCAAAAAAATACTAAAATAAACAAATTAGAAAAATTTTGAAAAAACCAGTAATAGTCATATAAGTACCAAAATTGAACCCATAAGAACAAGGTTGTGAGACCCTTACTCAGCATTTATCACTTGCCAAAACTGCTTTTAGAATACGAAAATGATAAAAGGCGACTTATTTTGACTTTTTAAAAATAGTTATTACTTATATATTATAATTAAATAGATTAATTATTTTAAATTATAAATAATTATTATTATTAAATATTGATTGTTTTAAAAAAATAATTCAA